ACAACAGGGTTGTAAAGTGATGTGCAAACGATGTGTTGTTAGAGGTCATAAAATGCATTGTGAGAGGTTGTTTTTAGACGGACGCTCTTGGGCTTTGTATAGTATACTAAAATACAGTGTTTTGCCAGAAAGGCTTGCCGGCCCCAAAACGCGATGACCGAAACCCGCCGCAGCAAGCGCCTCGCCAACGCCGAGCCCGACGTCGTGGCCGCGCCAGCCAAGAAGGCGCGCAAGGCCGCGCCGGCCAAGAAGGCCGACCCCAAGAAGAGCAGCGCGCCCAAGGTCGCGGCGCTCAAGGTCGGCGACACCATCGTCGACGTCGAGCTCAAGAACGAGAAGGACGAGCCGGTCTCGGTCCTCGAGCTCACGAAGGAGATGGGTGCTGTCTTCTTCATGTTCCCAAAGGCCAACACGCCGGGCTGCACCAAGCAGGCTTGCGGTACGACGCGTCCACTGCGACATGTAGGTTGTGATGCGCATGCACTAGGGTTCCGCGACCACCACGACGCGTTCAAGGCCGCCGGCTACAACGTCTTTGCCCTCGCGCAGGACAACCCGACGCCGCTCACGACGTGGCAGAAAGGCCAGAAGCTGCCGTACACGCTTCTTAGCGACAAGGCCCACGCGCTCATTCAGCAGTTTGGCAGCTCCAAGGACGGCAAGACCAAGGTGCAGCGGTCGCACGTCGTTGTCGCCAAGGGCGGCGTCATCGCCGACCTGCAGCCCCACGTGAGCCCGAAGGAAAGCGTCGACAAGGCCCTCGCCTTTTGCAAGGCGTCGGCGTAAGGCGTCGTGTCGTTGTCGTCTTCTCTTGCGTATCTCTACCACTCTCATGGACGTGTGCCTCTGCATCTTGTTCGTCGACATGGCTGGTTACATGCAAGTTGCAGAAGAGATGCAGGCAGAGCAGCGAAGCGTTAGGTTAGTGGTAGTGCGAGAGCGTTCGAAGATGTCTCTACTTGCGGGCAAAGAGGGAGCCCATTGCCTTCTTCTTGGGCGGTGGCGACTTGAGCGTATCCAGCGATCCAGGCGCGGCTTTCCGCTTCCCATCCTGGCTGCCCTTGAAGAAAGGGTTCGTGCGCATCGGTGCCGGCGCGCGCGGTGGCGTCTGCGGCGGCGCGACGTGTCGCTCGTCCGCCGAGACGTCGTCGTCGTCTTGACCAAGGTCGTTCTCTTCGTGCACGATGCTTGCCTCGTCCTCGGCCGGGCGGTACTGCTTGAGCGGTGGCATAAAGTTGCGCTGTCGCCGCGGCGGCGACGTCGGCTGCGCATAGCTCGTCCTGGAGTACGTGGGTGCGTCCATCTCGGGCACTTGGGCGACAAAGGCTTCGTAGAGCGCTTCGAGCTGTGCGCCGAGCTGCCGCATGCCGAAATGCGTCGCGATCGTCTGCGCGATCGTATGGCTCTTCTCCAACGTAAAGCACTTGGCGAGATCGAGGGCCCTTGCCGGCATGTCGTTCGCACACGCCTCCTTGAGCATCACGAGGAGCTGTTTGTCCATGCCCGCCTGCTCCGTCACGACGTCGCGACTGTCTGTCCAGACTAGGTGCTCGACCTTGTGGTACGGGTACAGCGGCATGCTCTTGTCCATGCGCTCGGGCGCGCGGCCCAGTACAAACGTCGAGGGCACGGGCCGGTTCTTCCGCGCGAGGCGGGGCACGTCAATGTCTTCGGGCAGCGGAATGTACAACAAGGTATCCTTGAGGAAGCCGAGAGCAAACACGTGCGGGCCCGGCGACGCAAGCGGCGTCCACTGGTCGCCCATGCCGTGGCTGAGCACATGCAAGGTGCCGACGCTGTCCATGGCAAAGAGCATGTGGGCGTCGTTAAAGCCAAGCCAGCGCAAGTCCGCTTGTGGCGAGAGCGGGAGCGGGCTGGACGCCACCACCGCCACCCGGGGCGATCCGCGCTGAAAGGGCAACTTGTACACGTCACAATGAAGGCATGCCTCGCGCGACACTTGGGTGACAATAGCGAGGTACGGGCCCGAGGCCGCCATCGTGAGCACGCGGGCGCGGAGCGAGAAGGACCCGTACGGGATCCCGGCTGTCGTGTACAGCCGCAGCACGTTGATCGACGTGGCCACCGCGCAAAAGTGGTCGGCGCTGGCGACACAGAGCGCGTCTTCGTCACTCGGGAGCTGGACGTGCCACGAGGCATTCGCCGCCCACGACTCGAAGCGGCGGTAGAAGAGGACGCTGTGGCCGTCGTCGTCGGGTCTCGGCGACGCAAAGAACGCGCCGTAGGCGTCGAAGGCGGCCATGAGGAAGCCATACGAGTCGGCAAACTTGAAGCCGCGCCGGTTCTTGTCGGCGAAGCTCACTTGAATCAAGTGGTCGTCCGTCGACGGCAGTCGCTCGATCTCGCCGAGCGGCGACCACGCCAGGAGCGTCACGGGCCCGCTGAGAATGCTGCCGCTCTGGAACGGCGGTGCCAACGGCTTGGCAAACACCAAAGGCGAGACGTGCGACGCGCCGCGCGGCGACGGGGCGGGCGACGACGACGACTCGACGGGCAAGGCGGCGGGCAGGATGGTCATGTCTTGGCCAAAGCCAAAGCTCGCCTTGATCGCGTTCACCTGCATGTCGGGGTCCTCGTCCTCGTCCTCGTCCTCGAGGACGGCGCGCTCGAACGCCGGCGGCACGACCGGCATGGGGGCAGACAATACCTCGGGCACCACAACCGTCGGCGCGGCAATCGTTAGCGCGAGAGAAGCAAGTGTGGCAGGAGCGGTATCGCATGCATCGGGCGCCACGTTCTCGGCGTACCCAACGTTGCCAGAGGCCAAGAGGAGCGCAATCCCGTTCGCATCGACAAGCCACGAAAGCGCCATGACCGCGTCGTCGACTTCGTAGACGGCGATGCACTCGTGCGTCGCCACCGACCAGACAAAGACCTACGCCGCGATCGATGGAGGAAGAAGATGATCGACGCACGTACCTGGCGGGCCATGGAGGCGGCGGCGACGTAGCGGCCGTTGGGCGAGAACGCAACGACGTTGATGTCGGCGTGCACAATCCCATCGGTGCTCGGAAACACAAGCTTGTGCGTGAGCGCCCACGAGTCGCGTGCGTAGAGGCCGAGCGTGTTGGTGCGCAATGGCACGGCGAGGAAGCGGCCGTCGAGAGGCGCCCACGCGATGCGGCAAAGCACGTCGTCGTCCTTCATACCATTCTGGTACTGCAGCGGAAGGCTCTTGAGCGCCGTAACCTCGACCGTGTCGTCGTCAATGTTGGCAATGTTGAAGATCTGCACCGTGCTGTCGGCGCCCGACGTCGCAACGTACGTCTCAATCGGGTCCATGGCAATGCTCTTAGCGACTTCCTTGTGCCCATTGAGGAGGAGGAGGCGCTCCATGTTGGCGCGGTACACGATGCGGCTCTGCGTGTCTTCGCTGACGACGCCGACGTAGCTCGTCGAGCAGTCGACATGCTTGATGTCCTCCGTGCAGCGGAGGAAGCAGCCTTCAAACTTGGGCTTGGCACCGGCGCTGACGCTGTACCGGTTGAGCACATAGTTGTCGGACGTGGCGACAAAGATGTCGTTGCCGCCCACCGCGAGCGACGGGATCGTGCCATCGTCCGAGTCGAGGATCATGGCCTTGAGCTCCTTGAGCGTCGTGAGGTCCGTGAAGCGGACGTAGCCGTCCTCGCCGCAGGTGACGGCGATAGAGCCCGGGAGCACGCCGAGGTCCCCGACGCCGGACGCATGCATCGAGATCGTCAAGACGCTCCGGACGCGCATGCTGCTGCTGCTGCTAAGTATCGAAAAATGAACCGCAACCGGCGGGCGCTGTATTAAAATAAAATAAAACACTTGCGGTTGTATGGGAAACCAATTAAATCACGTTCCCGCGCTGAACGACCGGCCTTGGGCGCCGGAAGCTGCGGCCAGTACTTGCCGTCATGACTCATGCCATGAGGCAGCGCATGAAGGCCGTCGCTTGGTACCCAATGCGAGAGTCAATGGCGTCTCTGCAGGCCTGTTTGTCTACCTTTCAACACTACGGTGGGAGCAACACAAGTAATAACTCCTCAAGTGTTTAGGACAAGGTTTAGTAAAGAGACTAGGGACGCGTCACGATTTACATGATGAGGCCCTCGTACTTCTGCGTGAACCAGTTCATGGCGTCCTGCTTGCGGAGGCGGTGGGGGGCACCGACACGCGTCTGGCGGAGCTTGCGGCGAGCGACGCGCATGCCCGGGCGGGTGAGGACGACGAAGAAGTCCATACCGTAGATACCCGTCGAGGGATCGTACTTGATGCCCAAGTCGATGTGCTCGTCGATACCGAAGCCGAAGTTACCGGTGTCCGAGAAGTTGCGCTTCTTGAGCTCGTACTCCTTGACCTTGAGGCCACGGTCGAGGATCTCGAGGGCCTTCTCGCCGCGGACGGTCACGTGGCACGAGATCTTTTCGTTACGGCGGATACCGAACGTGCGGACCGTGTAGCGGGCTATGCAACAGAACGACGATGAGCATCATGGGTCGGGTTGACCGTCTGGACACGCGAGTGTGCCAGACTATCGCGCCGCCCAGATCGGGCCAGGAAGGCCAACACCGCGAGGATCATCTTGTGTTGCGAGTGTCATGGTTTCGAGCGCAATCGGGGATGCAACCGCGCGAGGCCACTGCCAATCCGAAGGCATGGAGTGGCGCTCGTGAGCGCGCGGTCACCCGGAAGGGCCATCATTCACAGAGCACACGCTATCCGCAGACCTTGCGAGATGCCTCTTGCGAGGACGATCTGCACGTTGCCATAGTCGTGGCCGGGGACCGGGCCGGTTAGGGCACTGTGGTCCCCCACTCGTCGTAACCAGCTAGGTTTACGAGGAGATCTACATACCCTTCGAGTACACGGGCTTCTGGCCCGTGAGCTGCTCGAGCACGCGGGCAGCGCGGGTGAGCTTATCACCCGACTCGCCGACGCAGCAGTTGATGACCAACTTCTCGACCTTGATTTCCTTCATCACGTTCTGGCTGTCCTTGCTCTACAGCGTCGCATGAGCCTGTGCCCTCGAGGCGGGGCGGGCCATGCGCCGGCGACGACGCGCCGGCGAGGGCGCAAGGAGCGTACCATCTTGATAACACTGGGGATAATTTCGCAATTGACCAGAAGGAAGGCGTAGCCGCCAACTTTGGTTGGCTCCCAACCATAGTTTGCCCAGGACCAGTCAAATTGGCTTTTTCATCTTTTTGGCCAATCAGCGTCGACATAAGATCTGAGAGGCTTTTCAAAAATCCTCTTGAAATCAATCCGCACCGCTTCAGTGGATATCCAACGGAGTATGTCGGACTACGAATCGGACGAGTATGGCGGAATGGCGCCGACGACGACGACGATGGCTCATGCATAGATGCATGTAGGGAGTTTGTACTGCCGCCGGGCTTTGAAGTCGCGACGGGCGGCGCCATCACCAAGGCCGCGCTCGACGGCGACCGTGAGCTCTGGCTCTTCCGCGCAAAGACGTACGAGATGTCGTCGATGCCTCCTGCAATGGCTCATGCTGGCACTAGATGGACGCGTCGGCGCTCCATGGCCTCAGCATGAAGCTGCCCAAGGAGAAGAACGGGTCGCTGCACGTGCCCGTGCCGGTCGCCGGCTCGACCAAGTCGTATGCGTTGAAGAGCCAGGACTTGAGCCTGTGCCAGCAGTTGGTCAACATCGTGCCGGACGCGGTCAACAGCAAGACGTTCGTGCCCGGCAAGCCGTTCGCGCGCAGCTTCTCGCTGGTCGAAACGATCGAGATCCCGACCAAGTCGGCCGTCGTCGTCGCATCCGCCGAGCCCGCCAAGAAGAAGGCGAAGAAGAAGGCGACCGCTGAACCCGTCGTCGTCGACGCCGAGCCTGTCAAGAAGAAGAAGAAGTCCAAGAAGGTCGCTGCGTAGAGCCGATCGCTTATCTAGCCGCTAACCCGTAGAATTATGATACTTTGCATGTGTATATCCAATGTGTCTACTCGTCCAACTGCACGAGGTACATGGTGTCCCAGAGCTTGCCCGTGATGAAGAACACGTCGTGCGCGTCGTCGTACGCAATGCCATTGAGGACAGCGTCACGGTGCGCGTTGGTGCACAGCGTCGAGAGATCGTAGCTGGCGACGACCGCGCCCGTTGCCGGATCGATCTTGAGAATCGCATTCGAGTACCAGACGTTGGCATAGATGTGGCCTCGGGCGTACTCGAGCTCGTTCAAATGGCGCACCTATGGATGGCATGAGGACCATTATGCATGACGCCGATGGAAGAAGAAGATGGACGTCTATGAAATACCGGCTGGCCGTTGGCAGTGCGTACGACAACCTGTCGCGTCTCGGCAAGCGTATGGGCGTCCCAGAAGTGCAGTACATGGGAGCCGTCCGAGACGACGAGGGTGCTGCTCTCCATGGTCGTGATGCCCCAGCCTTCGTTGCGCGTCGAGCCAAATGGCTTGGCCGCGAGCACGCGGAAATCCGTCTTGTCGAGGACGTACAGCATGCGCGACTGCCACGTGAGCGCAATGTACGTGTCGTTTGCGCTGTTGAGCGCAATGCCTTCGCCAAAGGCTTCCGCTGGGAAGGGCGACGCGTGCAACAGCACGTCGCCTGACGTGGCATTCACGCGCCGCACCGACGACTTGTCGTAGAGGCCCGTCGACTCGATGAGAATACCGGGCGATTCGACGAGCAAGCCCTGCGTAAACGCGCTGGGATCGTGCGGGTACGAACCGAGGACGTGTACGCGCGGATCGCTCGGCAGCTGGAACTGCGGGGACGGAACGCGGAAGCCATGGGTCGCAGGATCGACCTGCGCCTGCCATAGACCGAGAAGCGCCATGACCACGAGACTAGCGACAGCGTACGCCGGGCGCATGCGCCAGCGCGGACCTCTCGTCGCCCTGGCCTTCTTGCCCATGACGGCCGTGGAAATGGCGACGCTACAAGGTTGCGTCATGACACTATATTTCGGCTCAATATGATTAAATAGTGTGAAAGAGTGACACACGTTGACCTCCGTATGGCCGGCAGCAGGCGACGCCGACGACCATCTTGCCTCTTATGCGTGAAGCTGTCGAGCTGGGCTGGCTGCTTGCGTAGCCAGCGACAAGGTCCAGGATAGAGCAGTTGCACTTGCTGCTCGGAGCAGGGACGTGGCGCAACCCAATGTAAAAGCCTGGAAAGCTGTACACTGTATCCGGAGGCGTCGGAATTAGTGTTGGCGACAGTCATTTTCATTTTCGACACCGGCAAGATGGACCGTGGCAACAAGACGTACGTCGGGACGGGCGAGACGACCGAGTGGGAGGACATCCTCATCAAGCGTGGCATCATCGCGCCCAAGACGAAGGCGCCTGTCGAGGAAGAGGTTGAGAGCGAGGACGACGAGGACCCGCGCGAGAACGCCACGATGGACGAGCTCGATGAGATGGACGTACGACGCCCACAAGTCGCAGCGAGCAAGGCTGATATGATCGTTCCATGTAGGACGACTACGACGAGGACCAGGCCCTTGCGCGCATCCGGTATGGCTACTAGGTCATGTACGCTCACCCATGCTCGTCGTCTAGCGAAAAGCGCATTGCCGAGATGAAGGCGATGGCGGCTCGCAACCTCTTTGGCGACGTGCAGCCCATCTCCAAGGACGAGTGGACGCGCGAGGTCACGGACGCGAGCAAGAACTGCTGGGTCGTGGCCTACCTCTTTGAATCGAGCGTCGAGGGCTGCAAGCTCATGGACCAGCTCCTCCGCGCGGTCGCTGCCAAGCACCGTGACGTCAAGTTTGTCAGCATCCAGTCCCAAGTGTGCATTGAGAACTGGCCCGCGCGGTACGCTCCGCGTCTCCTCGCACGTGTTTGGACATGCGACGACAATATAGGAACCTCCCGACGCTCTTTTGCTACAAGAACGGCAACCTCGCGACGCAGATGCTGACGCTGAGCAAGCTCAAGGGCCTCGACACGCGCGTCGAAGGTACAAAACACTCCATGCAAGCCCGCTCCGTATTGACGGTTGCAAGTAGATCTCGAAGAATTTTTGGCCGAAGCCGGTGTCTTCCGCTTCTAATCCTCGAGCACCTTGGGCACCTGAAAGTAGTAGCCGTGCTTGACGGATGCGTTGGCAAGCACGTCGTCCGGGCAGTTGCCTTCGAGAGCCTCGTCGGGCCGAAGTGGCGCCGACTCTATAGAAATAAGAATAAAAACCCGGCGCAGACATCTCGATTTGGTTGCATACGCGTGCTCAAGGCCTCGCTGCGGGCGTAAAAGTCGTCGATGTTGTCGTCGAGCGTGATTTCCTGGATGCGATCAGCCATGCATAATGGAATCTCGCTTCCGTGTACTACCTGGATCGTCTTGGTGCATTGAATAATGTCTTCGACTTCCTTCAAGAGCGTCGGCAACTTATCGTCAGGGATGTGCAAGTGACACAGCTCGGCCAGGTTGAGCAGCTAGTTGATCATCATTCCATATGCGATGATAGGTGTCATGGCCATGCACGCCATTGCGTACCGAGGCAGACGTCAAGACGTCGGCGTCATGGCGCTGCAGCTCATGGATGGACCACGACGCCGTTCGGGGCGCCTACGTTGCATGTGCGCTTCGTCATCCTACGTTGCGACCCTATGGCTCATGGCGCGTGGAGCGTCTACCTGCGTAATGTCCACCAGCGTCGTCGTCGTGCTCATGGCGCGGACGCTCCTCGTCGCCCGTCGCAGTCCCCGGGCCAGCATGCTTGGTGGAATTTAAAGCTCGTCTTTTTGGCCAATGGCATTGCGCGAAACTTCAATTGGCGTCGGGAAAGGTCGGCAGCAGCAGCAGCATGGTCAAGATCTACAAGATGCTCGTGCACTGGGGCTTCCTCTTCACGGTCCCGACCGTGATCGCCATGACCGTCTTCAAGCCGCTTGACGAAGACGCACAGCGCGAGATGCTCGTACGTACGACGCGCCGTCGGTCCATGCTCACATGCGCCGTCTCTGTAGGAGAAGAAGTACAAGTCGGACGTCGACCGGGCCAAGAAGAACCGCGCCATGTTCAAGGAGCTGCTCCTCCCGTCGAGCGACGACTCGGAGGGCAAGAAGATGAGCGATGAAGTCACCGACATTTGGATGAAGGGCGACCCGAAGATCCGGCCGCCGGGCGTTTAAATAGCTTGATGTTTCTGTTCTACAACTATCTAGGATACGACGCTACATGGCGAAGTAGTCGCCTTCGCTCTCGTCGCTGTCGGCGGGTATCGAGCGCACGTACGCACCGCTCGCATCGTTGTCGTGGTGGCTGCGCATCCAGGCGCAGACGCCGAGAAGCAGCACGAGGATGAGCCCGCCCGCGACGATCGCAGCGATCGAGCCGCTGGACAAGAGAGGCGGCGGCTCTGCCCTTGTTGCGTTGGTCATTGTATGCGTGGGTGTGCCCGTTGCGATGTCGTGCTCGGATCGCAAGCTGCTGGACGGAGCTACGTCCCGGGCCATGGGCCATCGAGGGACTTACGTGGTGCGACAGTAATGACGTGGTCTGTCCGTATCCTTCGCACCTCTACTCCTCTGCTGTTAGAAACCACCCAGGACCAAGCGTCGGTCAGAGTAAAGTACCAGAGACTGAGCTGCCGCTGCTGCTGCTTCTTTTATGGTGGCTCGAGGATGCGCTGTCGCGACCGTCGGACGCTGAAGCTGAGGCGTCTACGGAGGACGACATTGGCCTTTCCTGTTCGATTCGTTGGAGGCGTACGATGTGCCTTCCTAGAGGTAGCGTTAACGGGGCGACCAGCCGACGGTGACATGCTTGGCGTGGGAGCTACAACGACGCCATCCGTGAGAACGATTGTCTTCACGTGTCCTGGCACCTACCGCTGGTGGAGGCTGCGCTCGGAACTCCTCCTAATGTCGACGGAGTGATAAGAACCTACCCCAAGACATTCTTAAGGACGTACAGGGCGTCGGCATGGTTGGTGCGGCCGGTGTGGACGGCGTGTTACGGCCAACTGGTGCAGCTACGAGGTGGCAGCATTTGTACGGCATGCATGATGCAGCGGTGCGTACAAGTGCTTTGGCGCGTCGACGGTTGAGTCCACGGCTCGGCGACGGCGGGGTCTATTGCAGAATCGAGGCGACTGTTCGTGCCATGGGCGGGAAGCCTACCCATCTCCATCGTCGAAAGGCGTGGCATGAACGACGCCGTTGGTCGCAGCGGCGCGGTGGTGGGCGGCATGAATTGATGCCGACGGCAGCGGGAGCAGTCTTCGCGACGCTCATTTTGGACGGTTGGGCACGTGCCGGGACAGTGCGCCTTGGGCATGAAGCCGACGACGCGCCGCTCGTACGCCAAAGCGTTGGAGAGGACGAGCACGCCAAGGACGAGCCGCAGCATGCAATTAGTCGACGAAATCAATATCTGTCCACCTCCTTCCTTCTTGCACACAATTTTGAATTCTTCGATATTGCCTGTCGTTCTTGGGGTTTCGGGAAAAAGGCAGAAAAAGGCCGACATTGGCGAGGACGGTCCGATGTCTAAAGCAAGCAACGTCGTCGTCCTCGTCGTGTCAATCCGGTCCTGTCGATGCCAGCAGAACGCAATAATTACAGCCCACCGTGTGAACAACGAGGACACTGAGGAAATTTGATGTCGCTGCCATTAACGTTAGTAGAGAAGAGGTCGGTTCGGGCTCGTTGAGAGAAGCTGGCGCAGCTCGGCGTGGTCAAAGACTGGGTGCCGGAGCTTCCAGAGGACGAGGCCGACGACGCCGATGCTAGCAATCGCCGCCATCGAAGGAAGTGAGAGCGCGGGCACTTGGTCAATCGACTCGAGAGTCGCGTGTAGTGCATCGTTGTCGGCCGTCGCTCTTTCGTCATGAGCGACGGAGGGCGCGTCATGGTAGTAGGTCCACACGGTGCGACGTTGCTGGTCGTGGCGTGCCTCATGGCTTTCGTCGACGGGTGCGACCTGCACTGCCCGACGCGCGTCGTACGCCGAAGCAAGCGCAGGAAGCGGCGCATCGTCCACCACCAGCGCCACCATGCTCTCTGTCCGCACGAGAGAGAGAGCTGTGCACGCGACGAGCATGCTCGGTGCCACCGACCGCATCGCCGCAAGAGATGCTCGCTTGCTCGGAATAAGAACTTGTCGGAAGATCCTACGACCTTTCGCGCGACAGTTTCGGTACGTACGTCGGGATTGAGACGCGCACGCTCTCCACGGAGGAGCAGCTGGCTGCAAGCGAGCTCGAGCGTCACAGAGTCGAGTGCGGCACTGCCCATCAAAGCCGGTACAGACATTACGTTGATCTTAGTTTACAGCAATAAGCTACTCGATTCTGGCGTCTCGCTTTGGAGCTCGCCGTGCTCCAAGGCAGCGAGTTTCCGCTTCTCGTCTTGCAGTAGCGCTTGCAGCTGGAGCTTCTTGCGCTGGCGCGCTTCGAGCTGCCGAAGCGCCTTCTCCTGCTCATCGCGCTCCTTCGACTCGAGGATCCAGTCGTACTTGGAGCGCGTGAGCCCGAGGAACGTCGCGATGACTTCGCCGCCAAACTCCATGCCTTCGAGAACCTTCTGGCCCGACCAGTAGGTCCAGTGCCATGCCTTGGTCGTTAGAGGCGCTTCGTCCGACGCATCCCAATAGTAGAGCTATCTGGAGGCGTGAGCATCTCGAGCGAGGTGGATCGACGCACCTCCTTCTCTCCTTCTTTGCACTCGTCATCGTCGCTCGGCGGTGGGGCGCTCATGGTCGGAAATGTCTCTGGCAAGAGGCGACGGTTCGATGCGATCTTGAAAGGTCGTCCGACTGGCGGGCTGCTAGGCCATCAAAATTGCGACCGTGCACCAGACGCGCGCATGTTGGCGTTGTCAGCAACAAGACTATGGCTGCGCCATACTCCCGTCCTGCGGCAAGACGCATGCGGCTCGGTTCTGTCGCCAATAGCATGCAGTATGCGCATGCCAAAGCCATCGTCGCTCGTACGCCTCGATCTGGCGCCGCCAATATGCTGCACAGCCCAATAAGCTACCCTCTTATTCGTCGCTGCACAGCTCCGTGAGCTCCATGAACCATTCTGGTTGTGGCGTCACTGCTTTGAGCCCCGCGACGCCACCGTGACCATGGGCTTCTGGACTTGGCCAAGGTATCCACGCGGCGCAAGTTCGGTTGACGTTGACGGAATCGAAGCGCACTTAGCGAGATGTGTCGCATTTACAAGAGCCGAACATTTGCTCGTCGCTGCTGGCCGGACGCAACACATTATTCGCAGGAGCATGGTCTCGATCCAGTTCACGTCGGACGTCGGGCTCGGCAAGGTGGCGGTCGCCGCCTTTGGCATCGGCTTCGTCATGGCCGTGCACCTCTGCCTCCTCTTCTACGTCGTCTTGGCGACAGACGCGGGCTGGACGTACCACAATGCGACGTTGCAGTGGGCGGTCTACATGGTGTGCCTCACGTTTTTCCACTTTTCCGAGTTCATCTCGACGGCGGCCTTCAAGCCCGGCTTTGTGAGCTACGAGTGTACGCGCCATCTACGTTCTTACTCGATGCGAGTTGACGGTCGCATGTAGCCTTTCTCCTCAACCACAGCGACGCGTACCAAGTCGCGCTCTTCACGAGCTGGGTCGAGTACTGGGTCGAGGCCTACTTCTTTCCCGACGCCAAGTTTCGCCCGCTCTTCATGTGGCTCGGCCTTCTCCTCGTCGTCATGGGCCAGTTCTTCCGCGTCGGCGCCATGTGGACGGCGAAGAGCAACTTTTCCCACCGCATCGAGATCGCCAAGCGCAAGGACCACGAACTCATCACGCACGGTCTCTACACGTACGTGCATCGTGGCACCTTGTTCTCTGGATGGATCGGATGCTAGGTACATTCGCCACCCGTCGTACTTTGGCTGGTTCTACTGGTCGATCGGCAGCCAAGTCTTCCTTTGCAACCCGCTCTGCACCATCGCGTACACGGCCGCGTCCTGGAGCTTCTTCAAAGATCGCATTCCGTACGCCGATCTGGCAGATATATGTGTGCACTCATCCTGCGGCTGTAGGTACGAGGAAGAGATCCTGCTCGATTTCTTTCCCGAGCAATACCCAGCGTACAAGGCGCGGACGATCAGCGGCGTCCCCTTTGTCTAAGCCCTCGCAAGAAGATGAATATCTCATTTCAAGTCCTGGATCGGTGCACTTTCTCACTGCGAGCATCTGCCCTCGCAGGCTGCACGCCGACCCCATCACTCTTAAACAAGCCAAAACATCGAGTACATTGTCACGTCAGGGCTCCTCTTCATAACGGACACGACACTGCTGCGTTCGTGATCGTTGCCATCGTCTGGGTTGTATTTCGCACTTGACCGACGTGGCTCGCCGTCCACAGTGCTCGCAGCAGCGACGCTTCGCAACGTGCCACACTGGTCGTCTGGTTTCTGGTGCTGCTTGGCTGGCTAGAGCTAGCCGGCAGTAGGCTGGGCTGCCAGAGCTGGTTCGTTGGCTGGCGCAGGCCCTGGACAGGCGCGGCAGTTTCGGCGCCGCCTTTTTGGCGCGGTGGTTTCAGCGCCGCCTTGGTGGCGCGGAAAGGTCGCGAAACGGCAGCGCGTCGTGTGATTGGCTGCCAAAGTTTTTTGCGGCGTTTGATTGGCTGCAAAAAATTGGGGAAAGGCAGCGAAACCGCGCGCGATCCAGCCCGAGAGCGCACAATTGAAGTTTACTCTGGTCGACCATGCGCTGGAGCTACGTCAGCGCGATTGCCGCGCTCCTCTTCGTCCACGTCGTCGACCCGATCGCGGCTAAGGGCCCGGCCGTCGCCCACTTTACAGCGACCAGCCACCTCCAGCAGTACGCGGCCACGAATGGCCGCAAGAAGGCGTATGGAAACCGAGTGCGCTTGACGATCCAAGAATACGACGGCGACGAAGCAGAGATTGTGGAAGCAGAGATTGGAGACCTCGACCATCTGCATGCGATTCAAGAGGACATTCGCGAGAGCGACGAGGACAAGAAGAAGCGCAAAGTGAAGCAATGCAGCGGGTTCATGCCCGCAGCCCACTGCCCCCGCATCTGCAAGGCGTCGCGCACAGAGGACGGCTGCGAAGACTGCTCGGTGTGCAACAACTACAAGTTCATGCCTCAAACGCAGTGCCTCCGCACCAACAAGTGCACCAAGTACCGCTTCATGCCCATCGCCAAGTGCGCAGACGACGCCAAGCACCACGGCTACAAGACGCCAGCGCCGACGCACGAGCCGAGTGAAGTCCCGACGCCCGCGCCCAGTGACGTTCCGACGCTCGCGCCGAGCACGTACCCGACACCCGAGCCGTCGCAACCGTCGTCTGCCCCGACGACGACGGTACCGACGCCGGCGCCGTCGCAGCC